ACCAGATTTGCCTCTCTAGGAGAATAATTCCAGAACATTAGAAGATACAGTACTCAAAAGAACGTCTTACTTTCATTGTAAGTTTTCACCATCTTAACCTTCTTACCTTCTCATCCCCAAACACAGAATTGTTTTAGGGACTAGAAGTTCAGATTTGCCTCTCACTAGAGGCATTGCCTTGAGGAAATAATTTCACCAGTTTTCTCATCTATAAAATTAAGAGATTGGAAACATGAAACAGTAGAAATACACACCTGCTTTGCTTATTACATTCCTAGCTGTGTGACCTTAGGCAAGTCAATTAACTTCCCTCAGGCTGATGGTCCCACCCCTATGATGCTTCCAACTTTGGTAATCTGTGATTCTGTAACCTGGAGGCTCAGAGAAGCATGTAAATTTGCTCAAGGTTGCCCATCGAGGGAATGGGAAAACATCAGATTTAAAACGTAAGCTGTGGGTGTAATTGGAGCTCTCTGGGCTTTCTTTGAATCATGCGCTGGTCTCCAAGTGCCCTCTGCTGGCAAGAGGAAAACAATAGTTGATGGGATCTACAGCCTTGGAAGGCAGTAATGTCCCTAAATGAGTGAAGATGCTTTCCAGTGATACATTGAGTCATCAGAAACTTTGTTACCCAAGAAAGAATGATACAGGAGGAAGGACCTCTGTCTTCACGGGGTGCTCTCTGCTCCATTTCCTCTCAAATGTGGTGGGATGTAGTTTTGACTGCAAATGGGGAGTACTTGGGGGAGAAGTGGGGATCCTTCTTAGAATAGACACAGAGGTCTCACTAGGCCAGAGTTGGAGTGGCCTTTTCCCCCCATTCCAAATTGACCAGGACACCTAAAACCCAGGACCGAGATCATTCCATTAGCAAAATGCAATGCTAGCCCAGTCTTTATCCTGACTATATCTTGCATGTTTCTATTTAGTTACATGTTCCTGCCCCCATTAATATTTAAGTTTCTTACAGACAAGGACTGGTTGTAGCTTTTGTGTGTGTGTGTGTGTGTGTGTGTGTGTGTACCTCTAGTGCAGAACACAGTGCCTGGCATATAGCAAGTTGTGTGGCTTTATGGATGTTCAAATTTAATCGCGTTGATAGGGACTATAATTTTAGTTGCTTTTAGCAACACAGCACAACTTTGAATGAATGAAATAGGTCATGATTAAGATGAGGGCATTTCCCAATTTATGGATGAATCATACCTCTAATCAGTGGGTCTGTGCCACAAGAAAGGGCAGATGTCTCCAGGACAGTGATGAGCGGTCCCCAAGACCCCATGCTCCTTTCTTGTCATCCATTGTGCTATAAGCTGTGCCTGAGTGGCGTGATATTGACAAGATTTTAAGCTAGAAGAGATTGTAAGGAGGGGGTCCTAAACCTCTATTTTTCAATTATGTAAACTGAGGCAGAGTGGCGAAAGTTGACTTGGCCAAGGTCATGTAGTTATTAAGTAGTAGAGATGGGTTTAAAACCCAGGTCCTCTGACTTTTATACAGTGAAGCATGTGTCACCACTGATCAGGAATACCGTGGACAGGATTCTTGGTGAGACTGTGTGAAGCACATGTGTAGGCCAATGCCTTGAATCTGGTAGGCATTTGTTGGATGATTCAGTAAGCACTTCAGATGCCCCCCACAAACAACTTTTATTCATCTGTTCACAGTCAAAGTAGGCAAAGACTCTGAGCACCTCCAGCCTCCTCTTTCTTTGTCCTATTAAGTGCAAATCCTGGCTTTGCTACTTACTTCCTGTGTGACCCTGGACAAGTAACTTAACCTCTCTGGCCTCCATTTGCTCATTTGCAAAATGAGACAGTTGGACTAGTTGGAGCCTTAAGTAATATAACCTCTCTTGCTCTCAGTTTCCTTAGTAGATTGTGAGCTACTTGAGGGCAGGGTCTGTCTTTTGCCTCTTTTTGTATCCCCACTGCTCAGTACCCAGCATGGTTTCAGTTGACTCATTTCAGTTGTGTCTGACTCTCTGTGACCTCATTTTGGAGTTTTCTTGGCAAAGACACTGGAGTAGTTTGCCATTTCCTTCTCCAGATCAGTTTACAAATGAGGAAACTGAGGCAATCAGGCTTAAGTTTAATAAATGTTTATTGATTGATCAAGGTGCAAAATGGAAGCTAGGTGGCACAGTGGTAGAGCACCAGGCCTGGAGTCAGGAAAACTCATCTTTTGGAGTTCAAATCTGGCCTCAGACACTCACTAGCTGTGTGACCCTGGGCTTCAGTTTCCTCATCTGTAAAATGAGCTAGGGAAGCCATTTTGAGCTTTATCACTGTGCCTTTGCCCACACGGTTCCCTTTGCCTTGAATGCCCTGCCCACCATCCACCCCTCAATGTCCAAGTCTCTGCTTAGTAACATCTGACTCATTTTATCATAGCCTCATAGATCTGGGACTGGAAGAGAAGTCAGAGGTCACCTAGCCCAAGCCCCATTTTACAGAGGAAGAAAATGAGGCCCAGGACTTGTCCTGAGTCTCACACGTAGCCAGAAATTCAACTCTCATTCTCAGATTCCTTATCCAGCATCTCTCACTGCATTATGCTGCCTCAAGACTTAACTCACATGTCAGATTTGCAACAAAGATCTGATTAATACATCCCCTCCACCAGATGAGGAAACTGAGGCAAACAGGGTTAAGTGACTTGCCCAAGGTCACACAGCTAGTGAGTGTCTGAGGCTGGATTTGAATTCCGGGAGATGGGTTTTCCTGACTCCAGGTCTGGTGCTCTATGCACTATGGCGCCACCTAGCTGCCATTTTAACTTCCTTCTCTCAGACCTCAGGCAGCAGCTACATACTATCTCTCTTGTGCTTAACTGTGTAATGTTTATATTATAGCTATTTGTGTATGATAGCTATCTCCTACCAGACCCTACTCCACAATAGACTAAATATTGTATTTTTTCCCCTGGATTTGTGATTTCACTAGTGTAGGGAGTTCCTTGTGAGGAAACTCCCTCTACCAATGCAGATTGGCACCCGTCCGCAACTTCAGTTGTCTGGGGGCACTGACAAGTTAAGTGACTCGTGGGGGAGGAGTGACTTGAGCCCAGGTCTTTGTATGATTAACTGTCAATCTCTTATACCTCTCAGGGCACAGGGACCATGTCTCAAATCATCGTATCTCCCCTAGTAGCTACTATGGTACCCTGCACTCAGAGGGCATTCACCAACATGTTCACTGAATTAAGCAGACATTTGTCCATTGAGTCCAGAATATATGTACACAGGTCCATTGTGCAACAGCAGAAATTCATATTTCTAAAGTGCTTTACAATTTAGGAAGCTTTTTGGCACAACATCTCTAAAGGGTTGGTAGATCCAAAGGCAGTTTAACACTGACATCATTTAACACTTCTAAATTCCCCACTTCCCCTAGTCTTCAATTTCATGGTGGGGATGGGGGTGTGGGGGAGGCACAAATAAAGAGATAAATCAATAAATGAGCATCCTGGGTAATGTCACATTCTTAGCTAAGGATCATATCCACAGCTAGCTGGCCTCTCCAAAGTATAGCACTGACTTGTACATAAAGGTATTATTCAAATTTTCAAAAATTGGTAATTTCCTTTGTATATCTCTCTGTCTTCTGATCTGAAGAACCTTCAAGATTTCTTCTCTTCACCTGATTTACCTTCCGATGAATTTCAGTTGTAAGTGGCAGATATCCAGTGATCCTGACAGCCTGCTGAGAAGATTGAAGAAGCTTTAACCAGATGTCATTGAGCAGGAGAGAGCTAGGAGGGATCTTCCCGATCACCTAGGCCAGAGGTTCTTAATCTTCTTTGTGTCAGAGATCCCTTTGGCAGTCAGTCTGGGGAAGCCTATGCACCCATTCTCAGAATAATGGTGTTAAGTGCATAAAACAAAACACATAGGATTATAAAGACAACCAAATGTAATAAAATAGCTATCAAAACACCCCCTAAACATTTTTTTTTGTGGACCCTAGGTCAAGAACCTTGGATCTGGTCCAGTTTACAAAAAAAAAAAGGAACTGAGGAAAAGAGGAATGGGAGTGACTTTAAATCCTGTTTGTAGAAAGTAAATGGAACCAAGTGTGGCCCTAGAGAAGAATGCACCTCCCTCTACTTGTTGCCGCGTCAATGGGCAGATATAGTAGATATGGCAGTTTTGCTAAGCTACTTTTATTGTGATTTTTGTTAATGAAGGATTTCTGGGCATGGGAGGAAGGGAGAATATTTACAAATGAATGTGATATAAAAACTTTTTTAACTTTAAAAAAGATAATGTAAGAGTTAACCACTTTTCCAACTTCTATAACTTCATTCATTCCATCTCCAGAGGCTCTACCCTCTGAAGGGGGGGGGGGGTTTGCTTAGAAGCATACCGCTGACCAGGGGGATATTGTGATCCTGGCTGCAGGGTCACCTTGGGCTCATATTCATTAATGTGTTGAAGCAGTAAAATACCTGCACATACACAAAGGGGGACAAGGAGAATTTTGCAGTGAAGATGGTCAGTGTCTTTTGGTCAGCAACAATGGTTGAGTTACAATATTAGTAGGCAGGAAATAAATATTTCAATATGTCATTCATTGCTATTGTTGAGTCACGTCCAACTCTTCGTGACCCCATTTGGGATTTTCTTGACAAAGATACTGGAAGGGTTTGCCATTTCCTTCTCCAGCTCATTTTACAGATGAGGAAACTGAGGCAAAGAGGGTTACGTGACTTGCTCAGGGTCACACAGCTAGTAAGTGTCTGAGGCCAGATTTGAACCCTGGAAGATGAGTCTTCCTGTTTCCAAAACCAGTGTTCTATCCGCTAAAGCACCACCTAGCTACCCATTTCAACATGGTTCATTATTTTTCATATATAATATTACATGTCACATATATTACATATATATAAATGCACACACATTTACAAATTTAGAGAAGTGAAAATACACATATAATTGATATTCTCAACAGAGTTCCTCAGAAAAGAAGTTAAAAAACCACACGCATCTGAATACCACACCAGATCACTCAAGCTTATTTTATTGATACTCATTAGATAAGAAAATTTTATTGTAGCATTTGATGCATTTTACAACACATCTTATGGGAGTGGTTGTACAATGTCTACCATTTATTCTGCAGGCTAATGTCTGCTATGCCTCCCGAGTGGATGATTTATTATTACATTTTTAATTCCCTCATGGTAATGTATGGTGGGTTATTCGCTCTGGGTACTTAAAAAGTCTGTGGTTTTCCTGTTGTTATCCTATCTAGCTACAGGTTTAAGACACATTCAAATAAAAAAAAAAAAAGATAGTTAAGTTATCTGCAGTAAGTGCACACATACAACAGCAAATCGAGCTGAGGACACACTTTGACTAAAATGTCTTAGGTTCAGAGAATAAATAGGAGTTTGAAAATCTGAGCCGTGCTTGCCTGTATGCTTTCTCTCAAAGCATCCCAAGTGTCCATAACACGATGTGGGGACGGACAATTCTTTCTATCAGAGGGGCAAAGATGACGGTATTATTTATGCAAAAGATCATCAGTACTAATTCTTCAAGTAAGACGCAACAATGCTGTGACATAAAGTGTGGTAACTGATCATAATAAATAAACCACCTTCTTGGAAGGAAACATTTTATAGAAATACAGTCGGTTTTATGAAAAGGAATCGGACTAGATGATGTTTAAAAAGTAGATAAACTTATGTACAGAGACATACACATAGGGAGTCAATTACTTACCTAGGTTGAGCATATCACAATATACTCTTGTTGCTATGTCTGGACATGTAATACTAAGATTCCTCAACTTAACGTTAACAGAATCTTTGGTTCGTGTTTCTGAAATGAATCTTGAAGATACTTTTAACTTTCACCTTAGTTATTTACTCTGGTATGCGCGTACATGTGTATGTGTTTGTTTATAAATAAGACCGCTAGTCTCCCAAATCACTCCACACTTGCAACACTCAACAGAACCTACCTTTTTGTTCATTTTTCATTCTTTCTGAAAGTGACTCCATCTTTTTCCAAGCACAAGATACAAAGGTAAACAGAAAATGGAAAAAAAACAAAAACAGCCCATAGGCTAGAAAATCACATTGATACAATGCCCTCTATTGAAGAGAAGGGGAGAATACATGGGCATTAAGTGGTCGCACCTTGGAGCTGCTCAAGTGTTTGGATTTCAAAAGTGGCTACTGAGGAAAAGGCAAGGATATGGATCATATGAAAATCCCACAGCCCTGCTTTTTGAAATAGTCTGATTTTCTACAAGTAAAACCTAACAACCAAAATTCTATAGCCTCTCTTTCATAGCATTGTGCTGTTACTCAATTTTGCTGTGGGTCTTCCCTTCCCTGCTAATACACTTTCTCCAGAACACCCCCACATTTCCCCCTTTAGGCCCTCTGATTTAAGTAAGGATCTTTGGCTCAGATCATTAGACTATTTTGCTTAGAGGCTGTGGTTCCCAGAAACCAGTTGCCATTTTCCCTGATGCAAGATGAAAATAACCTTGTGACGTGTGTATTTCAGTGCCACGACAACACGTGGTAACATGACGCTCAGGCAGCACCATGATTTGCTTGTATTTCACAAAATGTGTTTAAAGGAAAAAGGTGGTGTTGGTTTTTTTTAATTCCATGCATTCTCATTCTTTCTGGCCTACCTGTGGATTACAGAAATGGGATTTCAAGTTTTCTGCATAAGGAAAATCACAAACATTTCCCTCCAAAGACACAACCTTTCATCCAGGTAGAGAAGCCATGGACTCTGAAGAAACTGGACCACTGGCAGAAGTAAAATAAAATTAGGCTGTCCCAACATGAATATGAATTTGGCTGCTTCGTTTTGTATATAATAAAGGACCAGGCTCATGATATGTTCATCCAGGAGATTGAAAGTTAGTTCACCCAGAATGAAGACACACTGTGATTGGTGTCATCTGACAAGCCTTCCATCCTGACTGTACCATGCATACAATCACAGTGAACAAGCCAAAGGATTGACTTCCCCTCTATCCACAGCATAATAACTGGTTTCTGTTTTCAGTGCATCTTCAAAGGAAAGGAAAAAAATAAAAAAAGACCTGTCAAAGGTCAGTAAGTTAAATCCTTAATACAGCAATTGCAGCGTTGGGCCATTTCTTATGATATCTGAAGAGTAATAAAATTAGATACAAGGTCTCTGATACATATTTACATACTATACAAAGTTTACACTCTTCTCCCATTAGGCACAAGGTTGATTTGTCTACTCAGGAGGGATTGAGAGAGAGACAGACAGACAGAGGGACAGAGAGACAGAAGTTGGGGTGGGGGGGAGACAGAGTGAGGAGGGAGGTCAGAGGACTGGGAGGTTAAAGGAAAATATTGTTTTTTGCTTTTGTTTTTTTCTTAAAAAAAAAAAAAGGAACCAAGTTCCTCTCATCGCAAGCTTGTCTGTTTTGGAAGCTTGGCGCCCATCAGGATGCCAGAAGTGAGAGTCACAGGGGCTTTCATCTGCATGCTGGACCCCACCATGGTGGGGAAGCTGCGGTTCCTTCGAATCCCAGTGTTCAGCTGAAGGCCTCCAATGGCATTCGTGACAACAGGGCAGCCGAGGGGAAGGCCATCAGGCCCAAGAGCCCTCGTTGGCCCCTGGGGCCCACAGACAAGAAGTCCCTGGTCTTCCGCCAAAGCAGGGCCATGAGGGCGCCCTGAGTTCACTACCTTGGCTATGCCAAACCGCTTGACTTTGTCCACCAGATTGAGGTTGGAGACAGACACCTCGGTCTGGCTCTCACTGTTTCTGATGTTCTTTTTCTCCCTCACCTCCTTCAGGATGGAGCTGGCTGGTTTGGAGGCCAAGAAGTTGTCATAAGGGGGACTGGTACATTTGAAGTCAAAGGACGGTGGGGAAGACAGCGGCGTCTGCATAGGTGAATTTGGAGGGGTGGAAGGGATCACAGTCATTTTAGGAGAGTATGGGTTCAAAAGGGTGCCCTTTCCAGCCCGGTCCCAGCTCTGGGGATTGTACACGGCCGCTGAGATGCCCCTCTCCTTCAGCAGCCACACCAGCCCGAGGGATGTGCTCATTGTGGTGGTGGATTCCCGGAGGTTGGTGAAAGACTCGGCCAGACTCAGTCGCCGGGGAGTGCATGGTGTGCCCACTGGAGTGGACTTCAAGTTGCTAGAATTGCCACAAGCTGGAGTCGGTGCTGAGTTAAGGCTAAAAGGAAAAAAAAATCAGAGCTTGTTATTCAACACGAAACACCCTCAAAATCACGGGGGGAAATTAGTATGTCAATTTACACCAATCTATTGATATTGGGTTGAGCCCAAATTGTATAGTCTTCAGCATCAATTAAGCAAAATGTAAGCCTAAATAGCCAAAAATGCACTGAGACTTTTGGGACACCCAGTACAAACCTACAGACAGAACGTAAGTTCCCTGAAGGCAGGACCTATTTAATTTTTGTCCAGCGCCTTGACCAGAGTGATTGCTTCATAATTGCTTCTGGAATGGATGAATGGATGCACTGAAGGGCAACTCTGAGCAAACCTGTAAAATCCATTACCTCCAACAATCTCTTTATAAACTCCTTTCTTCTTTCTCCCCGCTATGTAACAGACTTTTAACAGGAATCCAGTGACCTTCATCCACCCAACAAAATAATAATAGAAATAACAACTGGCAATTAAATATTACTCTGAAGTTTGCAAAGTGAAATGCTTTATCTAGTTTAAATTTCATAACAACACTATAGGATAAGTATTACAGTTATTATCCCCATTTTACAGACGAGGAAACTGAAGCTCAGAGATGTTAGGTGCATGCCCAAGGTCATACAGTTACCAGGTCTTCCTGACTGACCAACATGCCACCACACTGTCAAGAGCTTAAGGGAAAACACACTTTGATACATTGATTTAAAGTTACTCCCTTGTCCAAAAAGGATGAGATTTCACTGCAGTGGGCACTCCGCTTCACAAAGGCAGAGCGTAAGTCTTCTAGGTCTTAGAAGTTATTAAAATCATTGTTTGGTGACCAAGCTTCTACAAGTAAAAATATTTTTGACCTTAGCTGACTGATAGATCCCTGGATGACAGACAAAGATATACAGTTTTGTTACCAGGCCTGGGTTCAAAGCCTTTCTAGTGGGTAAGACCTAGCCAAGATGGTTCCCTGCTGGCATAGCTTTTGAGAACACAGAATCATCTTTACAATGAGGCATCAGAAGAAAGTTCCAGAGTGCTTCTATTCACACCAAATTATAAATGATCTGTATCAGAGCAGTTTTTGATTGGGGCGAGGGGGGAAAAGAGACAAGGAGGAAATACCACAAAGCAGCAAGATGTCTTTTTAGCTTTCCTGGAACCACACAGGCTACTGTCTATTCTGCCTATGCAAAGATCAGCCATGCCAAGAATAGAAGACACAAAAACCTAAAAACAAGGGTAGATTCTTCTCAATATCACTCAAGTGGAGAAAGCCATGAGGCAAAACGCTTTTTCTACGTAACTCAGTTCCTGATTTTCTTATTTCCTACCCATTTCACATCAGTTCTTTTGTCCATTAAAAAAAAAAAGAATGTTAAGGAAATACACTTTAGTCTGTGCTCACCTGTGCGATAAGCCTGACTAGCAACCCTACCCAGCAGTGCAAAGGTCAGAAAAACCCAGTATGTGATAGCTGTCCAAATGGTATAAGAAAGTCACTCAAATGTGCAGAATTTCAGCACTGGAAGGGATCTCAGAGGTGAGTTCCAGTTAAAACCCCTTCCCACTCTAAGTACTCTACATAGAAATATGGAAACTGAGTCCCAGAGGAATGATTTTGTCTAACATTAGACAGCTGTACTAAGTGACAGATCTGGCAACAGAACTCACTTATGATTCCTAGTCCAATCTTCTGCTAGACCACACTGGGAGATCAGTCTTTCTCATATGCCTTGTTCAGATCTGTTCAGGCATATGGGCTGCCAGAGCAGAATTGCAGGAGGAGGAAGATGGAGAGACTGGGACAGATAAAAGAAGGTTTCTCATTTCCACCATAATACTGGAATAGAAGTTACATTTATTCACATGTTTGGATAGATAAATAGATATAGATATATACCGAGAGAGAATAGAGGATCAGAATAAGGTGAATGCTGTCAAGACTACTGACAATAGGGGGAAAGGCCCCTTTTAAATAGGAGCATTGAACAAAACTGGCAAAAAAAAAAAAATTTTAGGAAATCCACCCTTAACAAGCTCGGTCTGGCCACTACTAAAGTTAACATGAACAACCAACTAATGAAGAACACAGTAGATGTTTAATAAATAGAAAGAAAGGGAAGGAGAGGAGGAAAAGGGAAGAAGAGGAGGGAAAAGGAAAGGAAGGGGGAGGAGAAGAAAGGAGGAAGAGAGTGGAATAAGGGAGACAATGGAGCAAAACCACTTCCAATGGAGTTCATACTGCTGACAAACCTGGGAATATTGAATCACAACTTACTTCCTTATGCCACCTGGTGGACTTGTCTGTAACTGCCAAAGCTACCTAAAGAAAGCTGATCAGCCCTCTGGCTGGAATCAGACACAATTTAGTGAATGCTTGAAAAAGAAGGCTTCTTGACCAGAAGCAGGAAGGTGTCATAGTCTGCTGAATGCCCTGTATATACTCTAGATTAGAGGAGAGAAAGAATCGTGTCATCTGAGAGAAATTTTGCTTAAGTGCTCTGAATGAGTGGAGAGGACGGGAAACCATGGATGAAAGATGCTTACAACTAAAAGACGTGTAAGCCTCAAAATATAAGTTTAAGAACTTCAAATCAAAGCTGCCTCACCTTTGGCTTGTTAGTTTGTGAGAGTGGAATGAACAGCCAACATGCACACCATCACATGAACACAAAAGCATCATCACACTAGGGGAAGAGAAATTATGGAAAACACAGGATGGAAAACCACAGCTGAGGGTTCTCACTCTTGTTAAAATGCATATTAAAAAAAAGAGTAATAGAGCTGGAATTAAATGAAGTGTATCCTACTAAAACTACAGAGTTTTTTAAAAAATAAAATTAAAGTTTTTTAAGGTTTTAAACTTAAAAAAAAATCTTATCATTCCCAGTTTTTCTATTTAATTTCTAACTGTAAGGTACATACTCAACTAAATAAAAACAAAACAAAAAACAACAGCAACAACAAAGCCAACCTCATGACTGAGGACAAGGGGTTCTTCTCTCTATTTAAACTCACGGTTTTAAAAAAAATTGTGATTACTGATGTATCACCAGAATTTTTGACCACAGCCTTATGGATAGAATGCCTTTGTGGACCTTGTTTTCTTGACTTAAAAAAAATCTTGCTAGTAGTTGTGCTTGCAGGATAGGAAAACAAGGTACTGCAGGAAGAAAGGAATAAAATAAATTTAAAAACACTTTCATAATTCAAAGGTTCTTAACCTGGGGTCTGTGAACTTAAAAAAAAAACCAACCCTATTTTGATAACTATTACAGTATAACTGGCTTCCTTTGTAATCTTGTGTCTTTTATTCTATTCTTTAAAAAAAAATATTTTGAAAAGTGATCCATTAACTTCACCAGACTGCCAAAGGGGTCCATGACACCAAACAGTTAAGCCCATTTAGCCCATTCCACCAAATGGGAGTTTTGGGGTTGAGTATCTATTAGTGTTAATGTCAGTTTCCTATGAAGTTTGAGGAAGGAATATCTTTAAAGGAAATATTAGGAACATGACCTGTTAAAATATTAGCTTGGAATGCCAACAAAATGGTCTTCAGCATCTAATCTCTTCAGGTTAGCCACTGTCACACACACACACACACACACACACACACACACACACACACACACTCATTGTACAAGACCCTGCTGGAACAGAAACTGCCAACAGCGCTGCTCACCCCCTGACCGACTGGGTCATACTGTTTGCCCTATATCTCCTCTCAGCATAATGTGACATAAGGCCGTTTCCTCCTCCTCTTCCTCCTCCTCACATGACCTGTGAAGAATTATTTATAGGTGAAAGACGAGGCTCTCACATCTCCCCTCCCTACCATTCAGGCCCACCGGAGGTCCATTCTGGCCCCAGCCTCAATGAATAGGCCATCTTCCTTGGCCCCTATAGCCACTATGACAAAGTTCTCTTGTGGCGTAAATGTAATTTCTCTTTAGCTAAATTTCTGGGAGCCCTTAGGAGGGTCACATTGAGAAAAATGTGCAAGTCAAGTCCACTCACCACTATCCACTGCACAGCTTCTCAGACGAGGCTGAGGTGAGCAGGCCATGGGTTGAGAATGGGCTATGGTTTTGGTCTTTCAGCTCTCGACATATTCCATTCCACTGGGTATCGATGAACACTGAAGCATTAGATTCTCAGCTGTGTACAGTTAGAGCCCGAAGGGGACCTCAAGAGGTCACTGATCCCAATTCCATCATTTTACAGGTAAGAAAATTGAGATGGAGAGAATGCCCTGGGTCATACAACTAGTATCTGAGGTAGGAATAGAACTCAGGTCTTCTTGGCTCTATGAACAGTGCCACCTGGATGCCTGATATAGCACTGGTCCTTAACATTCAGCACAAAGTAAAAATCAACCCCCTTCTGAAAAATGGCATGCTACTGTGAGTAGTTTCAAAGCAGAGCTCCAACAAGAGGGTCCCCGGCACACTCGATACTAGTCTATTTAAAAGTGGCCTAAGAATGCATTCAGTTCATATTCTTGGCCTTTTAGTCACTCAAGATTTTCAGGTCATATGATCTTTTTAACCATATAGAGCTGAATTAGAAGGAAGTTCTACATGTCTGAGAGGCAGTATAGAATGATGGAAGGAGCCCTGGTTTAGGAGTCAGAAGGCCACGGTTCAAACCTTTGCTCTGCTCACTTTGCAGGTGACCATAGCTGGACCTCAGTTTTTCCTTGTCTATAAAATGAGGAAGTTTGACTAGATCACCTCTAAGATCCTTTACGATTCTAAATTAATGAACGTGTGATTTAAATCCATCCTAGATAGACAGAACATAAATATAAAGTTGGAAGGAACCTTAGAAAGTCCAACTCTTCATTTTACAGATTAGAAAACTGAGATCCAGAGAAATCACATAGCTAGTAAGTGGTAAAATGATTTGAAACCAAGTTTTCAGACTCCAAATTCAGAGTTCCATCCATGATGCATGCCAAGCTGAATCACTGAACAGCCTTCAGAAGGGAAAGCTGTCTGATTCCAAACAGGGTCCCGGAGGGAGAATACGAAGGAGCTTAACAGGCCTTTGGGATAAGGATGTTAACCTTAGTCCCTCCAAACTACCAAATTTCTTGGTGGCTGGTCCTCTTCCTTACTCAATTACTTTGGTTTGTGCCTTTGACTGCAAAGGCTGAGCACTGCCAGCCACTTTCTGAAGTCACCCAACCTTGCACCACAGGGCTCCTCCCCATCTCTTACCTTGGCGTAACCCTTGTGAGCTCATCAGAGGGGTGCAGGATGCGGCATGTGGTAAAGGTGAAAGTGGAGTTGGTCTGCGACATACACTTCCCAGGATGATGCGCTACATTGGAAGGAGAAGGAAAAACACACACAAAACAAATTCTTTGACATCTATAGATAAGAGAGAGAGAGAGAGAGAAAGAGAGAGAGAGAGAGAAAGAGAGAGAGAGAGAGAGATCTCCAGTCTTCAACAGATGCAAGAAGAGTGATGAGATACCTTTCAGGTGGATCTAGGCGAGGAAGGTCAAAACACAAACGTTCTTGGTAGTTGGAGGATCCCTCAAAAACAATCGAAAATCTGAGGTTTGGCTGGTGAGTACCCTGATCATGCATGGATGGATTCCAGGTTTCATGCTGATCCAGGTAAAGGTATCCCATCATATTTCTTTTCAATAGTGGATCCAGCTTGGGGGTAGGGAGGCCAATGCACCTGGTGTTTAAATTTGGTTCCTGGTTGTGCATAATGGAGACTGCTTTCCTCTTTCAGCACTCCAGAAAGTTTCTCAGATTCAAACAGATGCCAGAACTCCAAGCAGGGAAGGATAGGGAGCATTCATTTGGAAATATATTGGCACACTAGGGTTATTTCAAGCATTATTTCTCTAAGCAGCTCACCCAACAGATGTTGGGAGGCTTTGGAGAGGGGAAGCCTTTTGCTCCCTTTTTCATTCATGAAAAGAGGCTCTCAGAAGTTGGTTCCACTACTGCTCATCTGTAATTGTTATTACAAGAGATGCAAAACCCTCAGCGGGACTTGACAACAACTTGACAAGAACATGCATTGATCAGCGCTGACCTCGGTTGAAATCTCAGCTCTGCCATTCATTATCTGGGTGATCTTCGGTAATACTTCACTTCGGAAAGCCACGGTTTCTTCATCCAATCAATGATGAACAACGTTAAGAATGCTGATAGAAAGCCTTGCCTACAACACAGCAGTGACAAGCATTGGCAGGACCATTGCTTTCATGGATGATCTTTGAACTGATGAATCTTTTTTTTTGAAACCAACAGCAGTCACGTTGGCCAATTTGCCCAATTATCTTTCTTTCAAAGGTTTTTTTGGAAGGTTGTTGTCAAGTCCCCTGAAGAATAGGATCCACAGCAAAGGAAATCAGAAAGGTTAAGAGCTGCCATGCATCTGAGAAGCTTGCTAAGAAATCAATTTTACGTTCTACTTAAGAGATCATGATTGCATAGGATTTCTTCATTCATAACTTAAAGGTTCTTTTTCTTTAAAAAGAGACTGTTCCAAATGGCATGCACAACACATTGTTCACAGAGAACCCCATCCCACTCAGCCCTCAGAGACCTCCGCGGAGGAGCAGACTTTTAACTTGGTATCATAGGCCCACTTGCCCAGTTTGCAAATTAAAAAGCTGTGGTGGCTCTTTTAGAAGAGTCTGGCTTGGGTCTAGAGCTCACTGGAGGGGCTCCATTTTCTCTTCAAAATTTATGAAAGGAAAACAGAAATGAAAACCATATGCTGCAAATTGAACTGGATGAGGAAACCAGGGAATGGAGGCAAAAAATATCCCAGATACATAATGGAAGATGAGATTAAGAACATGAGGACTGAGGTGGGTCAATGGAGGGTCAATGTGACATTGTTGATCACTTCAATACAACACATAGTTGTGTACTTGAAGTTTATTGCACATAGGGCTGGCTGTTTATGCTACTGGAGCAAACTTTGAACTACATACAGAATCTTAGATTTAGAGCTAGACAGAAACTCAGAGGTCATCTCTCATTTTATAGATGAGGAAACTGAGACCCAGAGAGGATAAGTGACTTGCCCAATGTCACACAAACAGTAAATGGCAGAGCAGGGATTTGAACCCACAACTTCTGGCTCCAAATCCAGGGCTCTTGCCACTATGCCATGATAAGTCATGTCACAAATGGCATCAAAGTGGGGAGTAGGGGAGAAATCAGGTCCAACAAAGAGCCTCCATCTCATCTTATTTTTCAACCAATAAATGTAATGTATGATGGACTTTGCTAACTTGGAAACTACTTCAAACACACACACACACACACACACACACACACATACACACACACAAATGGGAAAAGCTATGAAGGGAAGGGTAGCCTAGCAATCACGACTCTCTTATTGTGATAAGGCCTAAAAAGAAAAGCCACAGAAAAGCTGAGGAAAGGATCCCAAATAACAGACATGAGGTTATTTGGAAGGAAGAAAAGAAAATACAGTTATTAGAGATTATCAAGACACAACAATTCTTTGCTAGATGACACACATGATTGAATGAAGCAATGCTGGATTTAAAATCAAGAACATACACCTTCTAAAACATGTGGCTCAGACAGCCAAAGATGGGGGAAGGGGGATACAGGGGCACCAGGTCACTTTCTTCCTCCACCCTTTTTGGATTAGAATTGAATTGCAACATTTCTTTTGAAGTGGGCATTGGAAAGACATAGCTGCATTAGCAGAAGCAAAACCCATTGCTGAATAATGGGCCTTCGGGACAGGGGAAAAGGCTGCTAAAAGTACAGAGGTCATTGTTCTCCCAAAGCCACAGAGACAAGTTAGAAGGTCAAGGGAAAGAGATCAAGATTCAAGGCCAAGAGATTCAACCCCAGCCCAAATACCACTAGGAAAGCTCGGACTCGTTCTTCCTCCATCAGTCAATAGAGGCTGCCATGCCGCTGAAGGACTTTCCTTCCTTTAACAATAAAGAGAGTAAGTGATCTCATATCACTGGACACTTATGAAGCATCTAATATGTGCCAAATAGCAAAAACTAAGCTCAGAGCTGTTAATAAGACATACAACTTCGAATCATGGGTGTCTACACCCACTGTCTACATTTCTTTTTTAAGGAAGCCAGACTCTTGAACAATAGATGATTTCCAAAATTCACATTCTATTCCCTGAATCCCACCTTCAACTGCAAAGAGGCACTTTCTTTACAAAAGAGAGATACGGCATCCTACATGTAATGATCAGGGGATTATTTGTCAAAGAGGTCGTGGACCTAAAGGTTAAATAGCTTAAAATGTTCTCTTTTTCAACCACACTAGGGAGCCAACTTCAACGTGCATCAGAGATGGTTAATGGTCTGGGTTTAAAGGGTACAGCATAAACATGGGCAGGTGCTTTTATTGAGTATTTTATTTAGGAAATTCCACTTAAGTTTTATGAAGATAAATGTGCTCTTCCTTTCTACCCCCCTCCCCAGTTTTCACCACTTGTGTGTGATTCTGATGCACCAATAGCAACCTTTAGGCTTTGGTAAAGATCCTGACAATGAGATTCCCTCCAACAAGGCTGATCACAACCCCTTTACCAGCTACAAAGATTGACATGAGGCACTTAGAGCAGAAGTGACTTGCCCAGTGTCACAGATATCATCATTATCAGAGGCAATGTTCAAACCTGGATTTTTTTTTTTAAACTTGCAGCCCAATACTTAGTCCATTAAACCATAGAACTTTTACTCAATTTGGGGATTTTAGAAGGAGGGGTTCAAATCTACAGGCAGGGAATTCCTAATGATGTGGAAACACCCTCTATTAACAGAACGGCAATTGCTTGGACATTTATACTAACATAAGAGAGTTACTTGCCTGGGGCACTAAGAAGTTCATTTGCTGAGTCACAAACATCACATGTCAGAAGTGGGACTTAAACCTCGGTCTTTCTAAAACCCGCTAGCTTTTTTTTTTTTTACTACTATTCCACAGTCTACATTTTCTTTTCTTTTTTTTTAAAAGACTATTTCTTTGTTACATATGGTCTTTTAATTATGATAAAGAAATCTTCAAGGTCCCTTCCAGCTCTGACTCATTCCCTGATTCATTTCCCTAGCAAACTTGTGCCCTTTGATAAAATTGTAAGTGATTTAGTTGTATATGTAGTTTTCCCAATTTCACACCCCAGTCGGTCTATGTGGACTAATCTAAGGTCATCAGAAGGGCACAACAAAAAGATGTCTCTGCTCTCCTCGCCTGGTGAGAAACTCTTCATAAGGCCCTCCAGAGGGCCCCTCAAATACTAACTGGTGTAATAAACTCACAGACAATATTTTTCAATCACCGGGACACAAAGAGGCTCTTAGCAAACCAGAATAACTCAATTCCAAATCCACTGCTAAACTAGGAGCCCCACCATAGCCACGCTGTCTCTGCTCCCAGAGGACCCATCTGGGTCACAGCTCTATCTCAACCACCGGCAGCAAGTCAGGGTTTGGAAATGGGGAGTCAGCCTGGACCTGCCTGAGGTTCCTTTCTTCCTTCCCCAGCCTCCTAGAGGGGGCCTGTTCCCTAGCAGCCTCAGTCCATCCCGTAAGTGAAACAGGCCAGAGATAAGGACCCTCCCCCAGGTGGCCTAAAAGAACAAATTCTACCACGGTGTCTCAGGCACTGAGGAGGATCTGATGTTATCAAGGAAGGTCAACGTTACTACTGTAATCAAGCTAAAACACCTGCATCATAAGATTGGGTCCTCTGATCTTTCTGCGGCTCTTTGCATGATTTCACCTCTTTCCTTTACAGTAGCCTTGGAAATAGCATAAGTTGTTACCAACAGGCAAATAGTTCAATGAACAGAGGAGTGAGTTCATTCATCTTCCCATAAGGAAGGATAAGCTGAGAATTTTTCAGGGACTAATTAACAAAACTTTTAAAATAAATTCATGGGAAAATAAAGTGAGGTGAAGGAGTGCGAGTGAGGGTGAGAAGTTAGCCATACAAAAATACACAGACTAGAACATTATTTTATTCACAATACTGTTTTTTCTTAAGACTTCAAAGAACTTCACAAACACCTGAACAACTCTCGGGATATGAATATCGCTAATTCGCATTTTTAAAAAGGAAGATGAGGCACGGCATTGGTTACCTGAAAGCCATGGAGCTCTTCCCCCACGCTTGAACTAGAGGACAATTTTACACGGATGGAAAAATCCCCAATAGTTGAAATCTTACATCGTGGGCAAATGCTACAAGCTTCATGACCCTCTTCCTCCTCTTTATCTTGCACCTTTAATAAAACTGTGAACTTTTCTGTGATGTCGAACAGCAGGAGCGAGA